GCGTACCCCGAACACTGGGAGTTCGGTCGTGGATTCGCGCCTGGCTCGGACGGGCTGGCCACGTGGAGTTTTCCGGGTTTTCTCCACGTCTATAATGCCTAAATAGAGGCCAGTTTCCCTTTAAAAAGACCTACCGAAAGGCATCTACTCTAGGCAGATGGCCCAAGTGTTACGTTGCCATAACTAAACAAACAAACAAACTTAACCAAGGAACGGCTTCCACTGTATTATTTTAGAAGCGATTTTTTGTTTTTGATAGTAATAACTTAATTTCCAAATGTACAATATTTACCAAATCATGCAAATCGTTTGCCCGAGCAACGCCGGGCTCATTTGCGAGTAATATATATTAAATAACATATAAACATATGCACACAGAAATGTAAAGTTTCTTTTTTGTGACGAAGGACCTGGTTCTTCCGAAATTATTCATTTTTTGCCATAAAATCGGGCTTTTTTTAAATTTGGTCAACGATAGGCTCTTCTGGTTGAGAATTCTTAGATACCTTCTTCCACACTCCGTTCGTACATTTATCGGTTAATTCTTGCCAAGTCGAGTCGATGTTATATTTTTTCCCAAAATTGCACTAAACAAACATAGATTTAAGGAAAGTACAGCGCTGCCACCTTTTGCCGATTGGTTCGTGTTCGGGAATAATCGTATTATATACGAATCAATGAAATTCCGAGATAATTTGAATGGGCGTAAATTTTGAGCTGTTTTTAGGCTTGGAACAGACCGCGTTATATCGAATCGGCGTTAAGCGGGGTCTTACTGTATTTAATTTTCCACATCTAACGACTCGGGTTTTTTCATTTCCGAACGATACCTTCCTAATTCCAATAATCCCTTTAGTAGTCGAGTGCATAAAACCATTTTCAGAACTCTGGTAGTTAGTTGGTCGAGGATTCGGGCACGACCAACAGACCGGCTACGTGGAGTTTTTCGGGTTTTCTTCATCTAAATAGGGTCCAGCTTTCCATAAAAGTCTTCCCTTTGACAGATCGCTCGAGTGTCGCGTCACCGTAACTGATTCTAACCAGCAATTATTTATTATGACGTCGTCACAATACGCTCGATTCTTTTAGTGGTGGTCTTGCCCCTGTACATCATACCTTTCCTGTTAGCAATAGAGTCGTGTCGGTCATCTATCTAACTCCCGTTAGGGGAAAATGTTGAATCAAAATAACGAAACATCCGTTTCCAACCGGAAGTTCGTATATAGTTAATCTGGGCCTCCTGCCCCTGAGCTTTCGACATCCGGTCTAGAGACAGACAGAATTTACGGGTCCACATTTTTTTAAAATTGCAACTCAACAATTTTTCTATAGACGCAATATTGACGAGAACGTACTTGCCACGTAGTTGATACAATCTATTACCAAAATATTATCGCGTAAAAGCAATTATTCTAGTACTTTTACGAGATTTATTATTTAAACAAGTCGTACGCAGTCTTTCGGACTTGGATCAATGCAAAACCTGTCCAACACGAATCACTTTTCAAATATTAATTAGTAGTCGTCGATCGTTCTCTTTTTCGGGAGGAGTTCGGCAACAGTCTTTTCTTTCTACAGGACCAGCGGTACGGTGGAATTCGAATAAGAAAATTACATAATGCGAGGTTACCGGCCAACACAACGTACAATTTAAGTGGTTTTCCAGGTTTTTTCGCGAAATTTATTCGTGGCCAGATTACTGTTCGATATTTAACAGTGAATGTAGTTTCTTAGAGTTAACATTAGAAAATATTATGATATTTGAAAATTTTAAGATATATTTTCAATTCCTATTATTCATAAAGTGATAAAGGTTTTGTTGGACGTCCGAAGTGGGGACGGGGTGAAAACTTGGACAAACTGGGACCAGAGAAGAAGGGGGAAAATGCGCTCATTCTAACACTATGCCAATTGATTATAGCAGCTGGTGCCTGCGAGGACGAGTAAAAGGCTCGTGCGATTATTTATTGCCAGTGTTTGCAGCCATTGTCGAACCATTCGGCCGTCAACGAGACGAGCTTAATAATTGCAATTATTTAGTCTTTGTATGGTAGTTAATTAAAATAATATACGTCTTTCTTTTCTCTGTAAACCTTCCAAGTAAGTTTGTCAATTTCAATAAACTCTTCTAACATCCCAAGGTTTTAACGACGATAACTTCCGTCCACTTTATTAAATATTACGTCTTTTATAACGAATCGAAGACCATCAAATTCTGTCACCGGGTTAATGGACATTTAATTGGCATAGAAATTTCTATGTAAAAATAGCTACTCGCTTATTTCGTAATGATTTTTATTTATATTACCAAGTATTCCTACGATTTGTTTCGTTTTACGATGCTTTTTATTAAAAACTTTCAGTAATATTCTGTAAATGCATTTTTAAAAGTATTTTTAACTTTACTTTTTAATTAGAATCTTATTTACTGATGTTGAAACCATATAAAAGTTAGCAGTTATTATGTCCATTTAAATATGTACTGTATTGTAAAATTTAAGTTTGTTTCATTTCGTTCCGATAGATGGCGCTACTGACAAGGTGGCTCTTGTCTGTATTGTTATATCTCCAGAGTATAACCACTACGTTATCCGTTCATAACGAACATAGAATTAATGACGCTTTTCTATTTTCTACACGGATACAATCTAATTATAATTCTTTATCAAAAAATTTTATAGGAGGAGGTGTTATTTAGCACCTAAGTAGGGGCTTGTTCCTTGCAGAAAGCATTTCCGTAAGGCACGGTAGTTGACAGACTTTATCTTATCAAAGCAATCTACAAGCAACTGAAATACCAAAGGCGGAGATATTGATGATTTTGGAATTCCGGGCAGTTCTCGAATCCTGGGCACGTGGCAAATCTGACTACAAACCAAAATGCTTTGTCACAATATCTAGTTTCTAATTATAAACCAGCAAAAATACAAAAATACAAATGTTTTAATATCCACAATCTTCGAGTTATTAAATAATATGAATTTATATGTAAACAAAAAAATTGCTGGACAAATATTTATTAATCTATAATTAAAAATATGTACGAATGAAGCATAATCTCATTTTTGAATTTAGAGCGGTTATAAATATCGGAAGCCGTAAAACTACCACTTTAAGTGATTTAAGTTTGAATCCGGATGGGCCCCGCTACTCCGAGTTTATTGCGGGCGTAGAAAAACTCCAAGTAACAGCTTAAAATTCTCTTTTTGTTTATTCACGCGTAGTCCACGAAGGTTAAACATTTTAAATCGAAAGCAATAAACAAAAACTTTCTCTGCAAATGATAGAAGAATATTCCATTTCAATTTTAATATTGACATAATTATTTTGGTACTTTTTTTAACATTTTGTTGTAATAAAATAGAATCTGTAACTTGTCAACCTTTAACACAACATAATTTGTGGCTACACCAGCAAAGTTAGTTGTTAATTTTACAATTTTATTTCAAATATCAGTTTTCTAGTTTCTAAAAGAGATTAGAACAAAAGCAGAAAAGTATTGAAAATCAGCATTTGTAACACTTTATACAGGTTTACAGCATATAATCTACAGCATTTAGCCAAAGCCTGATACGGCTTACTCTCATAGTTATTGATTTTGGCACAAGAGCCCTTTTAACTATAATTTAACTGGTTTGCAAAAGTAATGCGCACTTCACAAACATTAATCTGTAATAAAGATAATTTATCATTACTTAATATTTGAGAAAATGGATTCTTCAATACACCAAAAATAATATGTTGTTTCAAAAGCCATTTCATTTTTGTTAGGACTATTCCGCATAAATCATTCAACATTTATATTGATATTTGATTATAAAAAATTGAAAAATTATTAGGCCCGTTTACAGATACTTATAAAAATACTTATTTAAAAGAATATTTATAACTAACAAATTTATTTATATGAGCTCTAGTCCCAAAATTATAACATTAATGTACGTAAATACCACAAGATATTGTTGTTAGGTATCATATTTTTCTTTTAATCAAAGCCAGCTTCTTGGGTTTGTGGGTTATGCATTTGTACAAAACTCCTATAAATAATATGATGTGTTTGGTTAAGCAATAGCCATTGGTGACTCGAAAATATGCAAAATATGCAGCCAGTTCTGCTTTTGATCTTTATGTATAGGTATTTTTGAATTATCTATTCGAGAATAGAAAAACCAGAGCAGTAAACTAGCTACATCATTTCCCTCTCTCATACTATTGATCAATATTCCATTGGGATTAAAATATCTAACAGTGGTAAGCTCAACACGATACAGTATATAAAAGATGCTTTTAGAATTGTATTTATAAACATTAATATTGAATTTTGAAAGCTAATTGACATTCAAATTAGATAAACAATGAATAACACTCCAATTTCTTAACAACTTTTATTGCAGTTGACAAACTTCATTTAAACAAAAGAGATTCTTATTGTAAATTTGTATAGTGCCAATGTCAGAAATTTTTTAAATTTAAGTTTAAATTTATATAAGAATTATCTTTTCACTTAATTCAGTATATTGTCTGAAATAATATAAAAAATTTAACTTTTATAACAAATGTTAGTCATACAAAATTAAAAATTTCTTGTTTAATTTATACAATTTTATTTTAACATGAATTTCTAACGACGATAATGCTGGATGGGATAAAACAAGGCAACCTGCAAAGGGGAGCTGTCTCCTGGGAGAACTTTCTATGTGAAAATAGTCCCAACTTATGTATTAGATGTGAAAAAATCCAAAAATCACATGGCCAGCTTGTTAGTCAGACACAAACCTGGGATCAATTACTAACATTCAGCAGTGGGTTGCTTTATTCGTACAGCCACCGGTAGGAAATAATACATTTATCAAACTTGAAACACCACTACAAGATTTAGTTGAAAATGAAACTCACAATTAACAGTAATTTCATATTCGCCTTTCAAGAATATTTGTGTAATATTTAATTGTTTCAACCTTGCATCGTTCCAGTTAAAAAAATTATTCCAGAAACACCAATTACCAATTTTAAAATAAACAAAAGCATCAAACTTATACATTTATTGTTCTTGATGTAGAAACCTAATAAATGTAAATACAAAAATTTTAATTTTAAGATTATCATTTTTATTTCAGAATTGACGTTTTAGGTGAAAATATTTAAATTAACAGCATTTAAACATGTTTGACAAAACGTTTAGATTTTGACTTCAAATTACAATTAATACAATTAAGTTTCGACACTTGCACAAGCCTTAATTAATTGATGCAAATAGTGAATGTTAAGTACTAGATAGAGCATTTTTTAATTAGAAGTACAAAGAAATCATTAAACAAGTCGTCAGACTTTAAAATACATCTTAAAATTCCAGATTAACACTTAAATATTTGACAATTTTTATTCAAAAGTTCAAATTCCCTATTAAACACCATGTAATTGATTGAGTCGAATACCTCCCACAATTAACATTTGTAAAATGTGTAAACACTCAATATTAAAACCAATCGTGATGGAAATTGAATACAATCGACTACTCCCTATCAAAAATTTTTGGCCCTGAAAAGGGCCTTTCTTCTTTTAAAGCAAAGCGGGGCGTTTTAGCCGCCAAAACCGTACAGTGTCCTTCCCTGACGTTTCAAAGCGTACACCACGTCCATAGCAGTGACGGTCTTTCTCTTAGCGTGTTCGGTGTAAGTGACAGCGTCCCTGATGACATTTTCCAGAAAAACCTTTAATACTCCGCGAGTCTCTTCGTAAATCAAACCGGATATACGCTTGACTCCTCCACGACGCGCCAATCGACGAATGGCGGGTTTTGTAATTCCCTGGATGTTATCTCTTAGAACTTTACGGTGACGTTTGGCACCTCCTTTACCCAGTCCTTTGCCTCCTTTTCCACGGCCAGACATTTTTTCCGATCACGCACTCCTTTGTAAATAATGCAACACGTTACGGCATTTTTATTTATAACCCAGAGCGGACCTGATCGAAAGCTAAAAACGTTTGTCCAATGAAACGAAAGAAAGCGTATTCTAACGCCATCGATTTTCAAATACGTCACTGGCAAAGAGCGAGGTAAATAAGCCAATCACGTCGTTCGTTTCGTGACGTTATTTCAAGCCAATGACATATCCGTATCATCGACTTTTCATCCCGGAATTTTATTTATATACAGTAATGTAAAATAATTAATTTTAAAATAAATAAAACTAATATTATTATTGTAGCAAATCTAAAATACATCTGAAATTATGTGATATTTTAATAATTCCATTAAAAAATATTAATAAAGTTAAATTTCCGTGTAAAATCGGTTTTATAAACATATAACTTTGTCGGATTAATTCAAAATGACAGAGAAATTCGAACGGATTGACGATGACCTAGTCACGTGACTCGAAGTGAGGCGATGCGATGTAACGTGTTTCGATCGCGAAGCGTAACGGTAATCGATAAAAACGTGAAGAGAATAAATATAATAGCGAAACGAACGAAAAATACAAAACCTCTTCGAAAATGTCAATGTTATCTACAAATTATTATAAATTGATCCATTAATAAAGATATTTTATTTGTCGAAAAAACATTGATATTTGAATTACTAAATATCAATATAAATTAATAATTTAAATAATCCTTCAAATGTTATATTAAATTACATTACATAATTAAACATAAATAGGCCTATATTAAAAAAATAACTTTCGTATGTAATTTAACGTTAAATTAAGCTTTCGGTTGATAATAAAAGATAAATATCATTCAATATTTCCTTTGTGTGAGTTATATTTAAATTTTGAAACCATTTTAGATTTACGGATTGAAAAAGTTCAACTGTAGCCAATCAACACTCGCCATTTTCATCCACCAATAGAATCGAAGTTTGAAGCCGCGCTGTGTATAAAAGCAGGATTTGGCGCCAAATTCGACATTTCCGACTCTGTCGTGATCGACTTTTCTTCGTTATGGCTCGTACAAAACAAACTGCTCGTAAATCTACCGGAGGGAAGGCTCCCAGAAAACAATTGGCAACCAAAGCGGCTCGTAAGAGTGCTCCGGCTACCGGGGGAGTGAAAAAACCTCACCGTTATCGACCGGGTACGGTAGCTTTGAGAGAGATTCGTCGTTATCAGAAGTCGACCGAATTGCTGATCAGAAAACTTCCTTTCCAGCGTTTGGTGCGTGAAATCGCTCAAGATTTCAAGACAGACTTGCGATTTCAGAGTTCGGCCGTTATGGCTCTTCAAGAGGCGAGTGAAGCTTACTTGGTTGGACTTTTTGAAGACACCAATCTGTGCGCTATCCACGCCAAAAGAGTTACCATTATGCCCAAGGATATTCAGCTTGCCAGAAGAATCCGCGGAGAAAGAGCTTAATTTATCTTTTTAATGGAAAAGGCCCTTTTCAGGGCCAAACAACTTTGGTAAAGAGGGTCGAAAAGTACAAAATCTAAAGAATTAAGTTTTTTTTTAATCAATTGTGCTTTGTGATAACTTTTAACTTTATTCCTGAAAATGTATGCCAGTGGTATTAAGAATTTCCACTGATTCAATGTTTAATCTTTAAGACTGGGAAAGAGTACTCTTATACAACTTTCCTACAAAGTATTTAAATAAAATTATTTCAAGTGTTCTTAGGAGAATCTTATTCCACTCTAAATATAAATAAGTGGTTTTGTTTTTAAAAATATTTAAATTTACAAAAACTCCATTTAGATACTAGAAGCAAGGATCAAATCTTCATAGTAGTTTAAATTTATATGTAATGTGCTTAACTAAATTTTTCATTAACATTTCAGTGATCCCATACTGATACTATAGAATCAATGACCATTTAACAAAATTCCTTGAGACCAGTGTTCCACAAAAAATTTTAAGTTATTGCAAATTAATTAAATTGCCATATTCATAGACAATTCCTTGTTTTATGTAATACATTGTTTATTGCTTCATTGTTTCCTGAGAGTAGTAAACATCAATTTTTGAATGTTTATTGTAATGCTCTGTGTAGTAAGTACCTGAATTGTATTTAGTGGCCTCCAAAGGTTGAGAACCACTGCTTAAAAGCTAGACAAATCTATATTTCAAAACATTGACTTTAAGCAGACAAGCTTTTTAGACTTTAAAATACCAAATAGTAAATCTAAATGTTCTAAGACCAACTTTGCATATGATTTTCTAATATATATTAAGATTTTTTTATACATTTAAAAGAATTAACAGCATATACTGAAATTTGTTTGCACTATTTCATAAAATGTTACTTGGGAAAACATATTCAGAATCTTAATATTTTAAGAACAAGAAAATGAGTGGTTTTATTAAAATTATATAATGGTAAAACATTCTTAATTCTGGTATAACTTGTCACTACTGAAATATTAGAAATTTAATGAAAGTAGTTTTTACATAAATTTTCACTGTTTTTTTAGCATGTTTAAATCTGTCGGGATCTTACAACTTTCAACCTTTTCATTCTTATCACTTGGTTGTCACGTCTAAACCAGTGGTGAATGTCTTGGTTGCAGACCCCTGCAACCCATGGACTGAATATCATGATCCTTAACCACCAGTACACTAGATACTGAAATAGCTTGTACTACATGTACAGTACTAACAATATGTTATTCTCATCTTTACTGGTCAAGTTTAGTTTGAATGGCTTTTATTAGGAATATCGGCTTAATTAGGGTTATGTAATGACATGAGGCAGAAAACGAAAATAAAGCTGTCAAAGTCCCAGGGCTGCATACAGTGGTGCCTCGTATAACGTACGCCTCGAATAACGGACGCTGCGAACAACGGACTTTCTGTTTGGCCGTTACGTGACTCGAGCAACGGACTTTCTGTTTGGCCGTTACGTGACTCGAGCAACGGACTTTCTGTTTGGCCGTTACGTGACTCGAGCAACAGAGTGGCTGAGGAGAACAAACTTTCTGCAAACAAGTGCGAATGATGTTTCCACTCGTTTGCCAATGACAATCTGCTATTTTTATAATAAATTCGTATTATTAGAATATATTAGTATATCTGAAGTACAGAGCTCCCGTTGGGATTTGGCTTGCTCTCTTGTTTATTACGTACAGTACAGTACATCACCTCAGTGCAGGGGGGGGTATTTACATTTATTCAAGTGTTGTGCAAATCATGGCTTCTAAAAAAGCAGAAAGGTAATTTCAATTGAAACAAAGCAAGAAATCATCAGAAGGAGTGAAAATTGACAAAAACTTCCTTGTCAAATGGGGAAAGTTTCAGGAGTTTACCAACACTCATTATCCAAACACAGCTGAGGCCAACAGGATCAATGATCTCTACAATGACACCCTTGCCCGTCATTTCCGACAAGTGTTGAAGAAGAGAGAGAAACAGACCACCTTGGACATGTTTTTCAAGAAGCCAGCAAGGAAAAAACAAAATATGGAACAAGAGGAGTTGACCCTGCAAGCTCCGGTAGTCTCTTCTAAATCTGACTCCGATTAAAAAACAATAAAAAGAGACGTGCTGCAATATGTAAAAAGTCTGTATCTGTATGAATGTGTGAAAAAAGTGTTCCTCCACCTCCTCACAACATCTGACTACCGGCATAATTGGTGACTGCTACATTTTCATTTCTTTATGGTACAGTTATTTTATGCTGCGGAACGAATTATATGTTTTAACATGTATTTCTATAGGAAAATGCATTTCGTATAACAGACTTTTCACTTAACGGACGTGCACCTGGAACAGATTAAGTACGTTATACGAGGCACCACTGTATTAGAAACTTGGTCTAAGAATTATGTTACTCATATAACCATTTGTCTTGCAATTTTTAGTTGTATCTATTTTCAGATTTCATCTTGTATTTTTAATTCTATATCATATGAAACATTTAAGCATTTTTATTAATTATATTTGTCCAGTAAAATCCAATTTAGGGACAAAAGTTAGGAATTTATATTCCTTTAATACTCTTCTTAATTGTCTAATACTCTGAATCAAATAACATAATTACTTGTTGGATAACATTAATTGAATGTTGAATGTTACCATTTCATCTGAATAAAAATATTTCAATGTTTGTTTTAAAATTGCAAAGCGAAATTCTTAAGAGGAAAGGCAAGAATTAATTACTGTATTAAGCACTTAATATTAGAGTGATCTTAATTCCAATCTTTCAAAACTGCATCTTTATTCATGTAAATAAACAATTTATGTCTAATCAATTTTGTTTTTTCCAAACTTGATTAGATATGTTTTTTCTTGTTTACATTAATTTCCATAAAAATTTTGATAAAATACAAATTATATAACTCCAAATTTTTAATTCCATTCATATATTTACCATGCTATGTTAATATTTTTAATATAATTTTTTATAATTGCCTTAATAACAATGTTTACAACATGCATCATGTTATCAAAAAGTAATCTCAAATAACCATTTGTCAGGTCTTCATAAATTAAAGCCTTTTGATGTTCGAAACTATGGTAAATCTGAGGAAGGCTATTCAAAATATCTGAAAATGTTAGTTTGTTTAATTAAAAGTTGCTATAAAAAGTGTGAAAAGTGTTTTTAATAACAAACTTTAAATGTTTATTATTCAGAATTTTGTTTTTAATGTTTTGGAGGTTTCTTGTTTAAAATATGGAACTCATGAAACTGAAGAATATACAGAATAATAATTTTATATATTAAATTTCTAAGTTGCTAATAATGAGAGTAATGAAATTTACATAAACTAATTTGAATGAAAAGACTAGATAAATAATATGATTTCATTTACAGAAAATTGTCAAGATATTAATGTTGTGGCAGATAATAGATAGGTTGCGGCCGACGTTTTCGTCGCTAAAACGTGTTCGTTGGGCGTTCAGCTCCTCATTTCTGTAAGCCTAGAAGTTTGACAATGGCATTTGGAACGTCAGTGGAATCATGCTAAACGTTCCAAACACTATTGTCAAACTTCTAGCCTTACAGGAAGGTGGTGCTGAATGTCCAACGTACCTGTTTTAGCAATGAAAACTTTGGCTGCAACCTTGCAGCCAAAGTTTTCATTGCTAAAACAAGAACGGTAAGTACGGTAGAATCCCGAAAACTCGGCACTTGATAACCCGGCAGTCCGGATAACTCGGTCACATCCTGGCAGGATGAAAAAGTTCATTTTCATTATAGACACCTTTAGGCCTCAAAGTATTTTTCTGAGGTCTGTCTTATCAGGTAAATTACTGTACACTGTGTATTCATTAATTTTCATTTTCATGTAGTAAAAGCTCTGTGCCTTCATAAAGTATGTACTTTTCCTTTAAGGGTATTTGGGCAGTTTATTCTCTGTTGTATTCTCAAGCAAACAATTCATACAAGTACAGTACAGTATTTTCTGAGGAAACACTCGTACTTATTCTTTTTTAACCCCATTCCCGATAACTTGGCATTTTCACAAGTTCGGTCCACATTAGGCCGAGTTTTCGAGACTCTATTGTATTAATATACTGCTATATTTACACTTTGAATGATTTTTATTTAAATAAAATCTGTTTACAAGTTTCAAATGTAAAATTGCAAATATAAATACTGTTAAGTAAAAAGTAAATATCAAATTTAAAAATTGTGATTGTGGAAGTAATTATGGATTAAAATGTGGATTGCCTTCCCGTAAAGTGAGTAAAAGCACTGAACGTTGGTAGTTGGTTGCAAATTCATGCTTGCTAAAGGGCTGGCTACATGGAGTTTTCTTCATATGTCTAAACACCTAAATAGGGCCAGCTTTCCATAAAAATCTTCCAGGAGGCATCACCATTTCTGCAGATTGCCCATATATTATACTGCCTTATTCTATACATCCATCTAAAATAATATATGTAAAATGTATTCTGTATCCAAATTTTTCAATAACTAAAAAACTTCTTAATGTAGAAGGTGTGGTTGCTGTATCTTCAAATTCTGTGTGTAGTGTCTTTGCAATCCAAACAATAATTTGGTCAAACAGCAAAATGCTGTGATTGTCTACCAAATTATTGTTTAAATTGCAAAGATGCTGCACACAGAACTAAAAAATTATCAAAATTTAGTGTTCAAGTCCATTAGACATCTTTTTGGACAGTTTGAATAGAAAGAATTCTTAATATATGAAACTTGGATCTGGATTTCTGGAAAGAATCTGATTTCTTCTTCTTTTATTAAGTGCCATAATTATAGCAATCTCACATCATAGATATCTGTAGAAACCACATTCTGTGATGGTTCACACTGAAAATCTTTTAATTTTCCTGTTTCTAACACAAGGGTTTATCATTTTAAGTTCTAATGTTCCTGTTTTATCTGTGATTATAACAATAAAATAAGAACCTATCAGCAGCTCAAACTTTTTAATATTTTATCTGAATAGCCATATCTGTAGTGTAGTCTTAATATAATGAGATAAAAACAGGAACATACTGGTGACAGGAGCTCCAGTGTTTTTATTTAAATTTTCTTTATATTACCAATTATTTCTGTGTATATTAATTCTATAATTTTTGTTAACCATTGCCATCATGTATTATATTTATTTTGTAATAACATATAATTTTGTATTTTTAAATTTTTATATTCCATGCTCGTGTACAAAGAGCAATTTGAAAATGTGTTCTATCTCTAGATTTATAATGTTCCATCCACCATATCACCTGAAGAAGACGGTTTTACAGTGTCAAAAGTGTTCATACTCATTAAACATATTTACCAGTAACGCCAGTAGACAATTTTTATATTTTCATTTATTATTAGTCTCAACTTAACCAGGCAAAATATAAGCTAAGAAAATAATGAAAATACTAAAATCCAGCTGATTAAAAATAATGTGAACAAAGTTGTATACTATATACTTATCATGTTTTTATTATTTCAACAAAGTTGTTATATGTTTATATTAAATGTTTACAATTATAAACCACAAGACAAAGCTTCAAAATAATATACAGTACAGCTGTCAACATTGTTGGAGCAAACCTAATAGTACAGTATATTACATTAATAATTGTTAATCCAGTTTTAAATGCAATCAATATACTGTATAAACACAAAACTACTGTTGCGTGATAAAAAAAGTTTGAAATTTTAATTAATTACTGAATTAATCAATGTAGATTTAACAATGGGTGAAGTTTTAAATATAATGTTTTCAATGCGTCGTCAATGTTCTTAATGGGTCGTCTTGAAATGTGGACAGTCGAGTCTAACTCTCCATAACTGAAGGTGCATTGATTAACTCAGCTGAGAAACTGTAATGGTTAGTTCATCCTTTTTATTGAATAATTACAATTATACTACAAGAAAATTCAAATAGAATTACTGCAAAAAGTTGATTATCAAAGATCTTTGGAAGTTTTTACAAAGATAGATAGTCCCAGAAAGAATGAAACTCATAAAATGTTGAACAGACATTTAGAGAAAAATTGAAGAGTTTGACTCTGACAGTGAATTCTGGACTGAATTTTTATATTCAAATAATATAAAATGTCTTAGAATTCAACAAAGGATATCCTCTATTTTATAGACTCTTATGAATAAACAAACCTTTTTTTTGTTATAAAACAGTATGTGGAAGGCATTTAACAGACTTTAAAAATATAGATCTAGTTAAGATGTAAAAATAAAGGAATAGCAACAAGTTCATCATTGGATAAACTTAATTCTCTTTGTATAGAATCAAATGAACAGAATTTGTTGATCACAATAAGGAAAAAGACAATAGAATAGAATTATTTGTACAATCACTTTTATGTGTAATATGTAACAAAACATTTCAATTAAACTTAAATTATTAATTTATCTTTCTACAAGAAAATATGTTTAAAAGAACAAAAAAGTGAAATTTATCATTTCAGTTCTTCAAAATACAAAAGAATTATGATGGTAGAAAATAATTTAAAAAATTAAAATGGGAACACAGACATAATTAGTGACTATATTTCCTTAGAAAACATAAAGAATAATCTGAAATGGCTTAAGAGAATAAGAATTTGGATTCTTAGAGTATTCAATAAAACCAATGTGAGTAAAGTTAAATATATCATGTAAAGACAATTTTTAAATGTAGATGCTTTTGTTATAAATAAGATTAGGTTATGTAGATACTAAAATACCATATACAGTAGTTATAAAAATTATAACCGTGTTTTAGTGCATAGAAGCCTAGCCTTAATTATGAGTCATTAAATTTTTAATATGATGTAGCATTTAGCAGTCTCTTATTTCAGTTAACTAAAAAGATAAGTTATGGATAGTAATAATTTTATTCATAAAAGAAACTAAACATTCGTTTTATAGTTAGTTTTAAATTAGAAGTTTCATCATACTAAGCTAGGAACAAGCACGTTTACTATATTATTCTCCAGTTGTAATCAGTTTATGTGATACGAACAAAGGAATTCATTCTTTTCAAATATTTTATATAAAAACAAAATGTAAATACAAAACAATACAATTTTAATCAAACTATCTTTATGTAGTTTTCATAATACGATCAAAAAATACACAATCCCTTTTAAAATTTCATCAAATGAAAATCGATTGCGACCATTCAATATCTCATACGCTAAAATACAGTTTCTACATAAATGAGAAGAAAAACCAAAACAAACTTAATTCAAATTTTAAAAATAAGTGACTTTTTATTTTAAATTAATCTTATTGGATATTAGTATATAATGATTAACTAGATTCGTCAATTAAGTATCCAATAAGAGTTAGGATTGAAAATTCTCAATCTCTCATTTTATTGGCTACCGGTTTAGCCAATAAGGATGTTCTATTTGTTCTTCGGCTATAAAAACGCCGACTCGTTATTATGGTTGTTATTCATCCAATTTTTAAGTATCGTACGTGGTAAGCTTTTGAATTCGCAAAATGTCTGGTCGTGGAAAGGGTGGTAAAGTAAAGGGAAAGAGCAAAACTCGTTCTAGCAGAGCTGGCTTGCAGTTTCCTGTTGGCAGAATCCATCGTCTTTTGAGAAAAGGTAACTATGCCGAGAGAGTAGGAGCTGGTGCTCCGGTATACCTAGCAGCTGTATTAGAATATTTAGCTGCTGAAGTTTTGGAATTGGCTGGAAATGCTGCTAGAGATAACAAGAAAACGAGAATAATTCCCCGACACTTGCAGTTGGCAGTGAGAAATGACGAAGAATTAAATAAACTTCTTTCTGGCGTGACAATTGCTCAAGGTGGTGTCCTTCCCAACATTCAAGCTGTCTTGTTGCCCAAGAAGACTGAGAAGAGTTAAACAGTCTCACTCTTTTAACAAAGGCCCTTTTCAGGGCCAAAATTTTTTAGTAAAGAGCTTGTCGAATTGTATTGTTTTAGATGTATTTCTAAATTGTATTAGTGGCAATTTAAATAGGGAAGTTAAGCATTTGCATGTCTTGTGTATATATATTGGATGGAATGTTCTGGTCATTTTTGTTCATGGCTATTAATTTAAGTTGTCACATGACTGAAGTTTCTAACTAGACCTAAATGTATTATATAATGCCGTTCCAAATTTGTTTTGCTGTACATTATGCTTTTTATACTGTGATTTATTAAAATATTTTAAACAGTAAGTTTTAATTCATAGTGTTATATATATTTAGCAATAATAAAAGCTACCATTTTGATACTGAAATGATTCAATCTACCCAACATCCTGAAATAAATTTTATAGAATTAACAGCAAGATAAACATTGCATTTCCATATTTATTCTGCAAATTTGTTACAATGATTAAGTCAAGTGAAAAATCAATAAATTGTTACCTTTGCAGCAATATTGTTGGCTGAACATGACCTAGGTCAACTCTTGTGATATTCTTAACCAAAATCATTTGTGTATGAGTTAGTTTTCATAACATGCATGAACTTTTTTTAATTCTTGAGATATGACTGTTAAGAATACAAAAGATAACAAGGTTCTAAGTTAAATTTTATTTTGCAGTTTAGAAAGTTCTCAAAAGAATTAAAACAGCTGTCACATGCTACAAAAACATTGTTTCTACTGTAGGCAACAATCCAATTTTCTGCTAAATCAAGGTTGAACTCACCTGTCATGAAATCATTCCAAATTTTGACAAGGTCTTTTGCTAATTCAATTCCATTGCTCAGTAGATTTAGGGGAGAGTTGATTCTTGACATGTATTATAAAAATACAAAAATATTTCAATTAGGTATGAATTTAACAATGTAATATTTATATATTCATTTGAATATACAGTATTTTAAAAAATTGATATTAGTTACATTTAGGTTTGGAAAATGTAATAAATTTTCTAATTGAATAAATATGGAAAAAATATATAGACTATTAATCAGTTCTACAAAGGAGACGTGAAGTGATAAAATTGGAACGACTGACTTCAAACAACTGTTTTTGATAACGTTCTTGTTAACAAAATATCAGGACATCTCAATTATCTGTTTTTATGGCACTAAATCTGATATGGAAATTATGCAGTGGGATGATTTACATATAAAATCTACAATTTAATTTTGTGCTTGTTATTGCCTGTATTTCTTTGATCTTATCTACAGTAGTAGTTATAGTATTGATGTATCATAATGATACAGTAGACCCTCGGTTGTCTGCAACGAGTGAAAAAAATTTCTAGTTAATTCAATAATTGGGTAAAACAACATTTTTTTAAAATCTGTTTTATGAGTCCATACAGGAGCAACAATTTAACTTCAAAGATATATCTATAAAACTTCACTGTCACATTAGTTTAATGGTACTTCCATATACATATTTTTATTACATTTTATCTCTGATAATTAACATTGATTGATCTGCATATAATAAATTAATAAAAATGGAACAACAGAAATAGTTCCTGTATGGTTCCAACCAATAATTCCTAAGTAATAAGGGTAAAAGTTCTTTTGTGTATATATTTTTAGCATTTGTTTTTTTCCTGTATCATTATATGTATTGTTGATACTGTGTTAAATTTTATGACGCTTTCAGTGAGTTAGAACAGCTACAATATATACTGGTAATTCTGATTTATCAGACCAAGCTAGTACAAAGTCTATAACTATTGATTTTATTATTTTTTAAATAGAGTTAGTTTTATAGTTTTAAAATATATTCCATTAAAAACAAATTTTAAATATTCTGTTTTGATATAATTACATTCTCAAATATACTTGTTTCTTATTATCTAAAGGAGTTGTGACAGATATTAAAATATAATCCTGTGATAGTATTCATATATAAATTTTTGTTTGTTCCACATGCAATATATTTATGTGGATATATGAGCTGTTTACAGGCCAAATCAACTAACTCCATTTATAAATCCTTAATATAATCGTTATTATTTTCAAATTTTTTGCATAACTAATTTTATACATGGTATGATCCAAAAGTTCGGGGACTGCAGTAATGTATGACAACAAAAGCATGTATTTGAAGTCACAGCATATGAAATGTATTCTATCAAACCACCTATACGTGTTCAGGTTGTTTTCGCCCATGTCAAATGATTATACCATGGGCGCTGTTGTTTTCTTTCGGAGATAGTTACCTTTGTTTTGCGACGTAATAAAAATGGAGCTTCAAGAACAGCGCTGCAACATTAAATTTTGTCAGAATTTAGGTAAAACACCTACGGAGACTTTAAAATTGCTAAGAAAGGTGTACGGTGATTCTATCATGGCAAAATCAAAGGTGTACAAATGGCATTGGCATTTTAAAGAGGGCTGAGAATCTATCGCAGACGATGAATGCTCTGGCTAACCTTCGACTTCATGGAATGAGGAAAATGTTGAGTTGGTCTCTCAATGTGTTCGCAACGTCGCCAAACCCTTGAAAAACTTGCTGCAGCTACTCACTTATCAAAGTCTAGTTGCCAGCATATTTTAACGGAAGATCTTAACATGCACCAAGTGTCTCAGCATATTGTCCCTTGGCTTTTGACTTCTGAACAAAAGGAAGAACGAATGAGAATATCGGGTGATTTAATCGACAAAGCTGATAAGGATCCAGCTTTTTTGAACCACATCATAACAGGTGATGAAACATGGTGTTATTTATTTGATATCCAATCAAAATGTGCTTCTTTAACATGGAAATCACCCTCCTCACCATGATTGAAGAAATTCCGGCAGGATCGGAGCAAAGGGAAAGTCATGATAGAGGTGTTTTTTGATTCTCAAGGAATTGTTCATCAGAATTTATTTCCGAAGGCAGAACAGTAAACAAGGACCATTATCTAGACATTTTACGTCGTTTGAGGGAATCCATTCGTCGTAAACGGCTGCAGATCTGGTGAAATGGAGACTGGTACCTTCTGTGTGACAACACACCTGCACATCAGTCCCAAATGGTCATACAGTTTCTCGTCAAAACTTAAATTAATGTGCTTCCACACCCCGCCTATTCACCAGACTTAGCCCCGTGTGATTTTTATTTGTTTCCATTGATGAAAAAGCATTTTCAGGGATGCCATTTTATGTCATCAGATGAGGTGAGAGCAGCATCACAGAAAGCATTACAGGAGGTTTCAAAAAAATGGCTTCCAGCAGTGCTTCCAGAAGTTGTATAACTTCTGGAAGTACTGCGAGCACTGGCAAAAGTGTATCATTGCCCAAGGTGATTACTTTGAAGGTGGTTGTGCATCAGCAATATAAACTTTTTAAGGTAAGGAATTTTAAGCCAAGTCCCTGAACTTTTGGATTGTACTAAGTATATTGTTATATTAAAGCTATACATTCTGTAATGTTTATTTAAAGTCAAAGTTTAAAGGGAATTTTAAAAAATAGTTTATACTGTATTATCAATTTTTATGCTTTTTGTTTTGTGGAGTTAATCGATTTGGCGAGTGAGTGGCTCATATAGTCCTGAATCTATTAAGATAGTTAAATAGAAGTAATGAATTTTTATATACGAACTGTACTACATATAACAAATATACAGTACAGTATTATAATGCTAGATTATAAAATATTAAAAGCATATTTTTGTGTATTTTTCATATATTTCTCTTAATGAACTCTTTTAAGATCACTCTTCTCTAGTAAAGAGTGGTTCTTTTAAGAGCAGTTCTTAATTACAAAAATAATACCAACATAGTAGTGATAAAAATCTAGAAATCTCATTAAAAAAAAAGAAATATGAGATTCAATTAAAAAAAACTGAGAACATTATAACATCGAATGAACTGCTGGATTAAAAGTTCAGAGATTTAAATTTCTCTTCTATTTATTAAGATTAATGAATTTTAATCTCATACCTGTTGAAAAATCATTCTTGATTTATAAGATTTTGCTTTCCTACAGGCTTATTTTGGAATTGTTTTATTTTACTATCTCTACCTGTTTGCTACTCACTTTCTGTAGTTATTTTGCATCTATTTATTTAAATATTGCTTGAAGTTATTTAATTTATTTTTCTTCATATCAATTTAGTTTTCCTAATCTAATATAACTGTTTTTTTCCTAAGTATTTTATCTCTGATGCTAGCTTGTTGATGTTTTTCCATTCAAGATTCGGGTCAACAATGATAATACGTTCTAAATTCTAAGTAATGAAGAATTGTATATGGAATGGGAATGGTAAAAGAGAAAGCCTGAATGATATGCTTAATTCTGTATTACGGTTTGCCTTCGAGAAATTATCATTTTCTTTGTAAAATCCAGAAACAAAGATAAATATTTACTTTATATAATAAAGATAAAATGTAAAATTTATATAGAAATTTTGGTTATAGTTACAATATTTTCTTGAAGAGAATGAAAGATAATGACATCTTTCATTTGCCATGCCTCATGGTAATTGCTGTATTAAATGAAACACCTCATAACTCATAGGTCAAGTAGTTGACAGCTGATGGAGCCATAGTATATGAAATTGAAAAATTCTAAAGGACAGTATTCAAAATAAAGGACTGCCTTTTATAATAAGATATGTATAGTCACTGTGTTACATGTGCAGAAGTCTCATGCCGTGGTGTTATTTTTACAGTACCAAAAGCAATAAAATTACAGAAGTAAAAAATGTCATTCTGTGTATGGGATTGGAGGCTCTTGCAGCTTCTGGTGGTGTTACTTGCTGGTATATTGCACATCCAATAAACCCTTATTCCCTGTTTAAAAATTTACTTAATAATCAAAGTATGAGTCTTTATACAGGTTCTTGCAGCATAATCTCAAGCCAACCTAACCCAAGTGTTAGGTTGGCTTCAGATAGATTGCTTGAGATTATATAAGCAATCTATCTATCTTATGCAAAGCAATGCCACACACAGTCAAAGAGAATATGGTTGGTAATTTCATTCATCATACCACATTTCTGACAAAGTGGTCCTCCTTTATGATTGTCCATTCTGTACAGATGTTTATACAGATGATGATACCCTGTCAAAAAACCAACTACCACTATCATCATATTCCTATTTAACTTTAAGAAGTCTGATGTTAATTTCATCAAGACTTCTTTAACTATTAACTTTGAATCTTCAAGTCATATGGTCTTATTCTATTCCACACTAGTTTCCTTAGAATTTCAGTTTTATAATATATATATGGTGAATGCCACCCTTCACATCTCAACTGTCATGAAAAACAAGCAACGAATCCCAGGTGGTATGAATCATCATTTCCTGGAACAAGTTCGAACTCACCTAGTAAGACTGTTGGCTGTAAGTTGTTCTTTTTGTTAGCTGCGTCGTCAAGACATGTATACACGAGGAAGACAATAAACTCAGTTCTGTTACGATCTCATCTCATTCGTTTTTATCATGCGCAGTGACGTAAAGTAAAGCAATAGTAGTAAACACACTACATATACTTGTGATTCCACAGAAAGTTTCTGAACTAGTAATAAGTT